ACCTTTGACCGGTTTGACCACAATTTCAAACGATCGGAAATCCACGTATTGACGGATTGCTGATGTCAATTTTAAAATTAAAATTGATAACGTGTATAAGGTGACATCAGCAATACGTTATTACGTGGATTTCCGATCGTTTAAAATTGTGGTCAAACCGGTCAAAGTTTTATTAGAGCAATAATTTACAAGTTCGAGGTTTTATTCGGTGACAAGTTACAAGTTCGGGGATTGAATGACAGTTTTTCAAGTTGAAGATTTATTCGTGTATATTTTTGCAAGTTGGAGGTTTTTTAGGGGTTTTACCCTTTTTTTATAATCGTATAAAAGTTAATGTATTTTTTGGATCACTTAAAAAATTCAGTGTTTTCTAGATTTTTTTAAGTTTAATGTTTATTTAACAACAAATAAAGTTCAGTATTTTTTTTTCAAAATTAAATAGTTCAATGTTTTTTTTTTGAATTTTTTCCTTATTATTATTATTATGTCATTTTAAAAAGAAAAATATCTCAAAAAATACCTAAACTTCTCAATTTTAACAAAATAAAACCATAATTTTATTTTTTATCAAATAAAACTCCAACTTTATTTTTCAGTTAAAACAAATCCAAACTTTATAATCTTTATCATTTTTAAATCTGAATGATGATGTGGTGTATCGATATTGTACGTGGTAAGTCAATACTTTGATCATATTTGATATATTCTCATCTACATGTCACGATATCGGAACGTCACGTCCGCAATAGGTTTAAAAATGACAAAGATTACAAAGTTTTGATTTATTTTTGACTGAAAAATGAAGTTGAGGTTTTATTTGATAAAAAGTTTAGATTTTATTTTGTGAGAAGTTCATGTATTTGTTTTGGATTTTCTCATTTTTTAACTAACAAAAAATTTGGTCGAAAGACTATTGACCCGCCAAGCTTCACCAACTTTGATAAAACTAAACCCGAGATTCCGATTCCCAAACATTTAATAACATAAATGTTAGAAAACGTTTCATAACAACTCCTTAAAATATTTACAATTTTGAAATTAATTAGGAAAAAAACCCTAAAAATTCCTGAACTTGTAATTTGGAGTAATATTAATTCCTAAACTTGTAGAGGTGCTTAGTAATTCCCAAACTTACAAAATTGAACACGTTAAATCCTGAACTTGTTAAACGGTTCCATAATCGTCCATAGAGTTATTTGTTCAATATATATAAATATATATATATATATATATATATATATATATATATATTTAAATCGAATAATCTAAACCGGTCGAATATCGCACCGAACCGAATACCGAAAACATCTACTACTTAGCAAGAAAGGCATAAATGGAGCGGGGAAGAAGACAAAAGAGACGAGACGACGAAGGGTTGTTGGGTGATATAATTGTGTGGGCCCGAAAGCATGAAAGCCCATTAAGAAGCTGTAGGGCCCATTGCCATTTTCAAGACATTGACATCCCCCCTCCCCGTCTTTTGTTTTCTTTGGCTTTTCTTTTTGTTATTTTCCTATCCGGAAATAACTAGACATTATTTTTTTCATGTAAAATACAATTTTTTCATGTAAATATCATTTTGTATCTTTAAAAAGTTTCTAGAAATCTATGTATATTTTTATATTTTAAAAAATTTTAAACTTTAAATGTATTTTTAGATCAAAATATATAAAATTTTATTAGATATTTGGTTTAATTTTAAATTGATAAATATTGTATATATGAACGGTAGATATTCGTCTTTTAATCACGGATATTTAGTGAGATATAGATAGAGATAATCATCATATATATATATATATATATATATATAAATAAGTACAGTGAATTAACATGGGGTTGACACGTGTCCCATCTCTTTTGAATCCAACCGATTATATTGCTGAATTCTATGTTTCCTCCGTCATGTTACTTTTTACTTTAATAATAAAAATATATGATATATATTTTTCAATTCGTATTTCTTTTCATTAAATGTGTCGATATATATAATACAATGTTTACCAAAACATTATATATGTAATTATATTTGGTTTATAATAATTGAAATAATGGTAACTAATATATCTTTTTTTAAAATTAAATATATGAGATCTTTTTGTGGTTTTATAAAGTTTAGTAAAACATGGAATAAGTAATTAGATTTGGTTTATAGTTAGATTTGGTTTATAGTTAATCGCGAAAGTAATATAATGTGGTATGAGTATGTTAGAGATTACGAGAGAAAATGAGTTAAAAAAACATAAATTTTCTAAGATTTGCAAATAAAATATGTAAATTTAATTTTTTAACTAAATATACGAATTTTAAAATATTTTCACTTATTTCTATCATTCTATTCCCAATATTCAAATGAATTTATTTTATTATAATATCATATGCGTTATATTTTTTAAAATTCTTTCTATACTAATAATTAAAGTC